TTGCTTACTAGTGCCAGCCATGCCCATTCTAGACATTTCTGACCCCTCCACAAATTTATTTCGTTCATGTTAATAATTCTCTATACTTACACAAATACATGACTGTCACATCTATTTTCTCCGTTGTCCTTCACAGAAATCCTGAAATGAAACACAAAGATGGGGGAAACTGAGGCATGTAGTGATGGAGTTATTCTTCACACAGTTCTACAACTCAGACTCCTCAGGGGCTAAGTGGAACTCAGGGCTTCCCATTATGAGAGCCACTGGAATGCCTCTTGTAGTCCTGTGGTCATGAGCATAAGTGACACAAGGAGTACCTGTGAGAAATGCAAGTTCTCAGGCCCTACCAGCTCAGTTGAGTTCCTAGTGTTAGGTGTAGAGTTCAGCTGTTTGTGTCAGCAAGCTTCCGGGGAGACTGACAAGCTCAAATGTTAGCTCCTGTCCTGACTGCCTCCTGGCTAGACATGACTCCAGGGGAGACCACGGCATAAGAGAATTTCAGAGCATGAGCTGGTCTTGAGACGAAGGTCTGCACAGGGTGCTGTGATCTGAGCCCAGATGAGAGAGGAGACCCCTCCCCACTTGGTGAGGGCAGCTGCTGCAGGGGTTTTTAATGCAGGTTCCCTGGGCCACCATGAAGAGCCCAGGCTTGCTTTCTGATTGTCCAGACCCTTCAGTTATGCCTGGAAACAGACAAGCAAAGCAGAGTAGTGGGCCTGATGAGGTCCAGAGAAGTGGGCCTGGCTTCCTGGCACTGCCTGGCTTCTGTCTTCACCTCAGGGGAGGTGTCATCAGCACTGATGGCTCATTTTTCCCGTTTGCTTTTCCTCAGCTCATAAAACTCCAGTCCCGGCAATGCCTGTGACAATTTCCAGTTGGTAATAAAAGAGAGGCAGAGATAAGGGTTGGAATTTAGGGGAAATTTCCTTCCAGTTTGTGCAGCCATGACCTTTGGAGTTCAAGTGGCTGCCCTTTTGGCACCAGGACTGAGGCTCTTCATGGACAATGAGCCAGGGTCACCAGGTTGTATCTCTAGTGGGTGTTGTGCTGGAGTAGCCAATGCTCTCAGATCAATAAGTTCCACAGCTTCTCTCGTGCTACTGCAAGGCCAGTATTGGCCCTCATTCAGCTCCCTTTGTATCTCCCAGGCCTTCCTGCTTCTCATCCGGTCAGCTATCCCTGCCCATTCTGGTTTCCACCTCATCTATCCAATATGGCCATTAGAACTTGCAGCCACAGAGTCAACATGGCTTTTCGGTGTACCCCATGGAAGCTGTGATTGATCATTCTTGTGAATCAGGAATGCTTGTTCTTCACTATCAGTAGATTTTCTTCTGGTCCTTTGTTCCTGGCATATGAGCACAGCTCTGGAGTGCATCTCAACACCTCTTTCTGTAGGTAGAGTTTTCCTGTCCCTCAGTAGCTTTCAAATAAACACACTGAGACTTATATTAATTATGAATGCTCTGCTAATAGCTCAGGCTTATTGCTAACTAGCTCTTACATTTTAAAAAAATATTTGTTTGTTTATTATATATACAGTGTTCTGTCTTCATGTATCCCTGCAGGCCAGAAAAGGCCACCAGATCTCATTACAGATGGTTGTGAGCCACCATGTGGTTGCTGGGAATTGAACTCAGGACCTCTGGAAGACCAACTAGTGTTCATATCTACTGAGCCATCACTCTAGCCCCAACTCTTACATTTTAAATTAACCCATATTCCTCATTTATGCTCTGCCACATAGCGGTACTTTTATTAGAGTGGCACATTCATCTCCTGCTCCCTCTGTGTCTGTCTAGCTGGCAATTCCAGACTCCACCCTTCTTCCTCCCAGCATTCTCTCTGTATCAGGCTGTCTTGCCCAATCTCTTCCTGCCCATCTATCAGCCAATTAGCTTTTTATTAACAATGAGAGCAATACCTATTTACAGTGTACAAAGGTCATTCCACAGCATTTCCTCCCATCTGGGGAATCATTGAATTACTCTGTCTCCTTTCTTTGTCCAATCCTCACTCTTACTCATGAAGAGTTAATAAGTGTTGGTGAGTCTCTAAGAGTGAGATCTCTGCAAGGCCCACACACTGTAGCATCAGGCAACACCAGCCTCACACTGTAACATCAGGCAACACCAGCCACATGCTGTAGCATAAGGTAACTCCAGTCAGCCCGGCATTGGTGGTGCTCCCCTTTAATCCCAGCACTTGGGAGGCAGAGACAGGCAGATCTCTGTGAGAAAAGAAAAGAAAAGAAAAGAAAAGAAAAGAAAAGAAAAGAAAAGAAAAGAAAAGAAAAGAAAAGAAAAGAAAAGAAAAGAAAAGAAAAGAAAAGAAAAGAAAAGAAAAGAAAAGAAAAGAAAAGAAAAGAAAAGAAAAGAAAAGAAAAGAAAAGAAAAGAAAAGAAAAGAAAAGGTAACACCAGCCACACGCTGTAGCATCAGAACCATTCTATGCCTGTCTCCTCACTTGTAAAGGCAAATTCAAAAATGCCTGCCACATAGTGTGGTTATAAGGAGAGACTTAAAAAAATTGATATACATGAAGCATTTATAATGTTGCCAGACACAAAATACATACTTAAAAAGCACCAAGGATTTTGTCATTGTTGGTTTTGTGACATACTGCCATATAGTCCATGCTGGCCTCAAATTCACTGTTAGCTGAGGATGGCCTTGAATCTCAGCTCTTCCTGCTTCCATCTCCAGAGTTCTGGGCTTATAGGCTAGACATGTACACCATGTCCTGTAAATTCTAGAAACTTTCACTAGCTGTCCTCTTATTCTCTCTTCCCTCACCTCCCCCCCCATGTCATGTTTGAACCCAGAGTGTCACACACTAGGCAGGTTTGTGCCGCTGTGCTTTCTAATTCTCCTTTCATGTTCTAGCTTTGCTCTATTTATCTTACACTTAGACTGTCTAAACGCCTATATGTCCAGCCAGTTAGAGAGCTCGTCAAAGGACAGAGCCTATATTATTCACCTCTATATGCCCAGTCACTATCTGGTCCCTGTACAGTAGGAGTTCAATGAGTGACGCTGAGAGAATAAGCTCCAACTAGAACTTGCTCTGTAGACGAGGCTGGCCTCAAATTCACAGGATCTGGCTGCCTCTGCCTCCCAAGTGCTGGGATTAAAGGTGTGAGCTACCACTGCCTGGCTAATCTGTGTATTCTAAACCAAGTAGTTAGCAGACATAATCCATCTGCTCCTTTAATTTTCTTTGCCATGGAATATGATTGATTTGTCAAGCCTGTGGGTCAGGATGTGGCATCTTTGATCTCAGAAGGGTGGTAATGTTTCCCTATGAGGGATTTTCCAGCATCTTTTCTCCTCCCTGCAGTTTGCTTATGGAGTCCCAGACTTGGAACTGAAGAACATTGCCTGTAGTGAGGTCCTCTTGCAGCGTTTCATCATCTTCAGCCAGCACTGGGGGGCACAGACCGTGCGTGACACCCTGTGTCCCCTCTCCCAGGTCACCCTACAGTGGATAGAAGACACTCTGTATGCCAACGTGGACTTCTTCAAACTCTTCCGTGTGGTAAGGAAAGGGTTACGTGCTCCCTACTTGTAGATGATTCTTGGAGCAGGTAGGCCACTGAGGAAGATGTGAGTGTGATGCCCATGACAAGCCTTGAGGATGCTGTAGAATCCTAGCACCCAAGAAAAAAAACAGCTGTCCTTCTAAAACAGTAGCAAGGGGAAGGAGGTAGGTTCACAACTCAGCACGCGGTGTGGTAGGTGCGTGTTCACTCCAACTGTGAGAAGAGTGTTTGCCACCACCTGGAGACCTGTGAATTCCTAGCTCATGGTTCCAGGTACAATACTGACTTTGTCCTGATCCTAATGTTCATGTATACAACAAGGATAGTACTTCCAGGGGTGTCTAACCTTTTGACACTGTAACATGATGTTGTCATTTACAGGTGTATTGGGATCCCTTCATAGCTATCTTGGAAAACCTGCTGCCTGTGGGCCACAGGTTGAACATACCTGTGTGTAAAATAGTAGGAAAAGACAGAGAAAAAACCGTGCAAAGCCTTCATAAATATCAGCAAATAGGTGGTTCAAGCTCCTTCCTATGGACCTGTACTTGACTCCCAAAGGTAGACAGAAAAGAAATAGGAAATTTCATAATCTCAATGTTTTGGAAAGCCTGGATCTCTAAGGCCAGCCTTCTGTTTTAAAACTGTGGGCCAGACTCCCAGGGCCCATGAGTATGTGTCCTCCTCCTTTGCTGGAAGGATGTCTTCGCTGGAAGGATGTGGTGGAGCACAGAGGTGTCAGACTTTAAGAAGTGTGATATCATTGAGGTCGCTGAAACAAGCAATTCCCAGTCCCCATCCTTGCTGGTGGGGGGCTGCCTCATTGCTTAGCAGATTCTGATGGGGGTCCACAGAGGCCACACTTTTAGGAATATTCACGAGAATCCTTTGGAAAGATAGATTGCTCTAGCACCTAATTATATATTTCTTTTTGCCTATATTTTAACTTCTGGAACTGTATCATGAGGAATGTCAATCACTAAGATATTTTTTGAGACATTCTGGAATTAGTTGTTGATTTCAGAATTCACATTTTGTCTGTCTTTATGGTGGCTTTTTCTTTTTCTTTCTTTTTTTTAAAGATTTTATTTATTATATATATAGTTATCTGCATGCATGCTTGCACACCAGAAGAGGGCACTGGATCTCAGATGGTTGTGAGCCACCATGTGGTTGCTGGGAATTGAACTTGGGTCCTCTGGAAGAGCAGTCAGTGCTCTTAACCTCTGAGCCATCTCTCCAGCCCCATATGGTGGCTTTTTCAAATCCCAGAAAAGGTACACTCTCACTCTCTCTCTTGTTCTCACTCTCACACTCCTCATGTTCTTCTCTTTCTCACTGTCTCTTGTGCACTCTCTCTCTCTCTCTCTCTCTCTCTCTCTCTCTCTCTCTCTTTGTCTTTAAATTGGGGACAGGGTTGTTGCCAAGTTGGTAAGAGTGCTTTCGTCCCATGCACAAAGCCAGGGCTAGATCCTAGCACATGTAAACATCTGTAATCCTAGCATTTAGGAGGTGGGGGCAGGAATGCCAGATGTCCACAGTTGTCTTCGGCTAGTCTACAATACAGGAGACCTTGTCTTTTGCAAGGTGTGGGGGTGTGGGGGTGGGTGGGGGGAATCTCAGGCACAGAAAGGAGAAGAAAAAAAATCCAGATGAATTCTTTAAAATGAGTCAAAAATAAAATAAGCTGTGTTGTTTCTGGCAGAGTTGATTTTGAATTTCCCTTGGAAGTTATTTTGCAATTTTCCCAGCTTATTGGGATTAGGCCTCTAAAGTAGGTAAAAGGGGCCAGGACCTGAGGGGGCCACCACAAAAAGTCTAGGACCCCAGAGATGGTCTTGATGCTTCCCACAGCTTGTGGCCTAAACATCTCTGTCCTACAGTTGACTACAAAGGAACCCTTGGCCTATTCTGGGACATGGTCTTCCATTCAGCTAGTCCTGGTTATAGCCAGATAAGATTTTGCATCTGGACAAAGTTGCCCATTAGTGACCAGACCTTGTGTTAGTCAGTTCTCATTACCTTAACCCGTACCTCAATCAGTCAGAGAAAGGGTTCCCTTTGGTTCATAGTTTTAGAGACTCCAGTCTGTGATCCTGATGGACCTCATTGCTTTTGGTCATGTAATGAGGCAGTACATTGTGGCAGAATGCATGATGAAACAATCCACTCATTTCTTGGCCAAGAAGCAAAGGAATTGCTTTACCAAGGGGAAGGGCTTGGGGTTCCCATTATACCTTTCTATGCCAGACCTCCCAATAGCCTAAGGACCTCCCACTAGGCCCTGTGCCTTACAGGTTCTACCACCTTCCACTAGTGTCAAGATGGAGACCATGCCTTTAACAGATGGGCCTTTGTGTAACACTCAAGATCCAAACTATAGTTAACCCCAAGCTGGGGCCACTGACCTGAGTGTTTACTTATCAAACAAGAAAGAACAGAAAGCCTTCCTTCTGCCTTTCATTGAGTTTAGAAACCAGGAGTTTTACCAGTTGCCCTCACTGACTTAGATGGGCCCAAGTTCTCATTTACCCACTATGTCCATGTGTCCACGTGATCACAGCTTCATCATGTACCTGCAGGGGACAGGTACTGAGCTGAGGCCATGATGCCAACATCAAGCCTCCTGCTCTCAACTCACAATCAACCCAACAAACCTATTCAAGGCCACTCACCTTAGAGAGCCCAGCACAAACAGTTCTTGTCCCTGAGAATAACAGTTCTTGGCTTAGCTGTACATCTGATCACCAGGAAAGCTTTAACAGCTACATATGTGGCCCCGGGGATGCAATTCAGTTGTAGAGTACTTGCCCAACATGCCCAATTAGGCCTTGGCTTTAATTCCCAGCTCAGGATAAAACTGACCGAGGTAGTGTACGCCTGTAATCCCAGTGCTTGGAGAGGAGGATGATTAGAAATGTCAAGTCATCCTTGGCTACATGAGGTGTTTCAGGACAGCCTAAACTAAAGGAGACTCTGTTTCAAATTAGCCCCTGACTCTGAGTCCAGAGATTAGTCAATACAGGGTACAGTGTTTTCAATAGTTTCCCAGATAATTTCCAAGTCCAGCCAGGGTCAAAAATTATTAACCTTGAACAAAAGAGTCTGGCTTTACAATCTCAGTTTCTGTAGACCAAACAGTAATACTTGTACCCCAAACACCTCTGGGCTTCAAGAACAGAGTCCTGCAGAGGAGCAATGCCTGCCTGTCCAGAGAGCAGCAGGGAGAGCCACAGCAGTGGGCAGCATCAGACTGCCTCAAAGACCTCCTGGCTCGCCATTCTCCTCATTCCTGCTTCTGCCTGGGTTAAGGAAGAACTGACTAAAACAGACCACGTGAGCTCCTAGCAAAGAGCAAACACCCTGTATAGTCGTCTGGTGCCCTTGAAATGTGCCTTCCCTGGGACAAATGAACAGGGCAGCTAAACATTAAAAGCAAATATATTACTAATAAAGAACTTAAAAGAAATAGCAAGCATTAAGTGAGATTTTGCTTCCTGTACCCATCCTGGGAGTGGTTTTAGGAAAATGATCCCCAGGCAGGCACAGGGTGGCCAGGGCAGACCCCGTGGCCCCCCGGAGGAGCATGGCTAGCCTCTGCGGCCTGGCTGTTATTGCAGCTGGTTGGCCCACAGCCACTGTCATTCTGGCGTGGGAGTGCTGGGCTGGTCCCTCTGCTGGGCTGTTTCTTGTGCACACGTAGCCCTTATATAAATAAGGTTTTATTAAATGCCAAGTCAGTTCTCATTAACAAAGAAAGAGGAAAAATTTCAGTAAGCCACTGTGACGGCACCTGCCCCTGCTGGGTACAGAGTAAAGGTGGGGGTAGGGTGGGAGCAACCTCCAGACCCGGGACTCTATGGAGCTGAGGAAACATAGTGGGAGTTAGCACCAACTGGGACCAGCTGTGTTTTTCCTCTGTCCTTTGGAGGTCAAAACTGAATGTTGTCATCCTCAAATAATCCTAATGCAGTTCTCTGGGCTCTGCTCCACCAGACCCATTCCCAGAATCTCTCTCTCTCTCTCTCTCTCTCTCTCTCTCTCTCTCTCTCTCTCTCTCTCTCTCTCTCTCTCTCTCTCTCTCTCTCTCTCTCTCTCTCTCTCTCTCTCTCTCTCTCTCTCTCTCTCTCTCTCTCTCTCTCTCTCTCTCTCTCTCTCTCTCTCTCTCTCTCTCTCTCTCTCTCTCTCTCTCTCTCTCTCTCTCTCTCTCTCTCTCTCTCTCTCTCTCTCTCTCTCTCTCTCTCTCTCTCTCTCTCTCTCACACACACACACTCTGTCTCCGTCTCTCTGTGTCTCTGTCTGTGTCTGTCTCTGTCTCTCTCTTTCACACACACACTCTGTCTCTGTCTGTCTGTCTGTCTGTCTCTCTCTCTCTCTCTCTCTCACACACACACACAATTTGCACATGTTTTCTTGCACGAACCCATCCACACACGACTGGTGACCTAGGTGGGTGGGGAAGCACACAATAAATCAGATGGCTGGATTTTCCCCAAGGTTTAGCCTGTCTTGGTTTTACCTCCAACTCAAAAAGTTCGTCTTCACCGGGGCTTTTTCAGGCTAACAGCTGGCAACTTGAAACCCAAAAGCTCCGAGGTGGGCCCAGGGCATAGTTATTGCCAGCATACCTGAAATGTTCGCACCTCATAAAAAACGGTGCGTCACTTTAGAACTTTAGTCAGTTTCGGGTGAGGGATTGGGCAGTTTCCCATCTGATCTGGCCCAGGTTGTGCATGCCCCTTCTGTCCCTCCTCCATCCCGTTTTCTAGCCCCCTTCCCCCCAAGCCTTCCTGTTTTCTCTCCCACTCGGATGCACTGCTTTGAAATCTCGCTGAGAAGCATGTCTGTCCCTTCAGCTTTGAATGTTTATTTGTGGAACTGAGTTGGGCACTAAGACCTGCCATTCTGCCCGGGAAATCTGAGTGTTCTTCCCCTCCCCCTTTTCCACTGCTGAGGATGGAGGAAAACTGGATTTGGGGTTCATGGTTTCCCCTCT